GCGGCTGGTTAACATCTGCTTCAGTAGATTTATGTCATTTATACCTGTTCTTTCTTCATTGTCTCCCGTTGTCCGTCCACTACAACTGATGATTATCATAATTTGGTTGTGATAACTGAGCCACTACAAATTCCCGAATATTTCCCCATAACACGCTTTTATTCACTGCCTGTAAGCTACGAAACGGGGAATACCCCAAATTACTATCTGATGTATTGCGTGGCTCTCTGATACACCCTAGTGTCATGACGATTTCTCGTTAAAACCGTATTAGTAAATATTTACGGCTAAACTATTCTATGCTATATTGATCTACTAAAATTATATGTTAATTAAATAGTTGAATCTTGGGTGCCGCTGCTAGATAACCTACTTTGGTTCCCCACGGCTTCCCTTCCCCAGTAAAATTATGTTCTTGAATTTTTGCTTATTTTTTGCATCATTTATTATTTTACTGGTTGGAAAAAATAAACTTGACTATATTGTCAAATTGTCATTTGGACTACGTACTGCGGGGAACAAAATTGTCATTTGATTTCAACGCTTTCGCCGGGGCACAGAAAATAAAAACATCAAGTAAATGAAAACAATGTACGCTTTGATAATGTACATATTAAGAAGGGCAACACAAACGTCCTACTGTAGCACAGCGGGTGCGCCATAATTTTCAGGTTTAATGTTGCGATTGTTCGCAGGCAAAAATTAATGCGGCCCGCGAGTACATAACGTTTGCCGACCACTGTTATAAAGGGCCACTTAAAGTGGCTGGAGTCGCCTCCGATCTCGATATATGCGCTTAATGCCTAACCTCGACCTTGGGCCAATTTTATTTTCTCCCTAAAAGTTTCATGTTGCTGGTTGTACATGGAGTATAAATTGTGCCTTAGAATTCGTACATGGAGGTTGCTTAATTTTTCTCATCAAATAAAATAGTCGCTCGATTTAATGTTGCATATGACAAAAGATAAAAAATTTAATCGCTGCAATTGTACAAAAGTACAGCTGAATGATATGGTGAATTATTTTTATATATATTTACTGTATATCAATTGAATTTCCCCGACCTTTATTTCTACATTCTCTTCCAAATCATATATGATGATTCATATCAATCTTGTTGGTTAATTATTGAATGAATAAGTTTCTCTTTGTGCTTATTGCTTTCATTTATTTCAATTTTTATTAACTCGTTTTTAATCTTGGTGTCGCAGACTTATGATGACCATCCGTGCTCCTTCGCGACCTCCAGTCAATTGCAATGAAATCCGTTACTGTAACGCATAATTACTTTTTCATATTTTGAATTTGTGTTGTGATTTCTTGCACGACGAAAAAAACTTATTGTCTATTGTCGAATCGTAAAAATAAAATATAAATTATTTGCCCATTTATTTACTGTCTTTTCATTTTTTTATTTTCAAATTTTCACAATCCATCAAAAAATTTGGATTACAGTGTAAGAAAACTGGCCTTGCAACATTGTTTTGTGGATATAAATCTCTCTCTCTCTCTATTCCCGAGTGTGTAATAATTTCAACTATTTTTAGTGAACACGTATCACGTATTAGTGCGACACCTTTTCGTTTGAATTTTGTGCGTTAATCACTACCTTTGCTTTTGTCTGCTTTCTTTGTTAAGTAATCGATTTTATTTATTTGTTTTAACAATTACTCTATTGCCTGTTTTTTTACAATTATGGAGTTGAAATTAATTCCTACTATAGATAAAGATTACAATATAAACTGGTGCTGTTACATCACTGAAGTGACAGATGATGCCTTAATTGACGCTAATTTCCTAAACTATTCATCCTATTCTAAGGTTGCGGCGCCACCAAGATTTGATGAAATACAAAAAAATTGAAATAGTATTTGGGATGTGAATTTTAATTATGGTGTCGAACTCACTAACAACAGGATTCCTAATTTTAGAAAACACATGTAAATATCGTAACACGTAAGCTGCAGTTTTGTGTTATGAGTTAGAATCTTAGTTGTTATCTAACTAGCAAACCTGTGGTACTTTGAATATTTTAATTGTTTGTCTATCGTGAAGACATATGAAATTTAAAACACTTGGTTAAAACACATTTGTCTACTTGAATGTTTAATATATATAATATATAATAATCATTCAGATTATGGTGCCTGCTATTAAATCGGCGTGTACTTGGATTAATTCAGTTTTTCAACAATCCGACGATATCTAAGACAAATGAGTGGCAGAGAATCTAAAACGGGAAAATTAGCAATGCAACAGTACGACTTAACCGGAATACCGGTAGGTGCTCGCCACTAATACAGTCTAGTAATACTGTAATAATTAGTTCAGAAGATCCCGTGTGCTGCAAAGACACACGAACATGTTCGAAGTTCACGATGCAAACGAAGAGACTTTAATAAAATAGTGTAAAATCCACGCCCAAAGCAGATAAAATAAGAGCGACAAAATACGGTCCTTACCCAGCGACAGCAGAAGCAAGAAGAGTGGCACTGCGAATCCGCAGCACAGTTCACATATGTCGAGTAACTGAAACCAACTGTCGGCCGAATTAGGGCTCAGACTCCACACACCAATGCAAATGCAATAACTAGACACTAAATATAAATAAAATACAAAACAATAAAAAAAATAGGACAATTCCAGTCCCGCCACAGCAACTTGGATGGTATGGTATTATGACCAATGATAGAGTTTATGTATGAATACTAATACACGACTGCGGAGCATGCTAATCCGAAAATTAGTAGTTCTGCGTCATAAGGAGTACAGTTGCTATTATAACATCTGTACCACTACCAGTATTTCATCAAGATCGCAGTCAGTCCCAAATTTGGGGGAGGGGCCATTTTTTGTATAATGACGTAATACTACGCTTATTCGTGCCTTTTGCTCCGAACTAGGCTAGATAAAACCGCCAATGATACCTAACAATATTTTAAAATAATCTCTGCACAGACTTTCTTCGCCGTTGAATGGCGATAGGATTATTGATAATAAGCCAGGGAACGTCAGGTTTTCAATAAATCGCTTAAAAAATAGAGGGAAATGGCGTTGCAAAAGGCACATTTATGTCTCACTGCAAATACCGCAAAATTGCATCCCCTCAGCTACGACTATAGTGTTTTTCAACCCTTTTTAATCGCGGAACACGTTTTTATATCATTAATTGTTTGAAAATTATCATTAAATTTCGTATTTTCGGAACAATCCAATCAACTAATAATTCTCTTGAAAATTTTTGCCATAAAAATATAATAACTATAAGACAAATTACTAATCGAATTGATTTATAAAATCTATATTTAGGGCTGCAAAAAACAAAAACACATTCGAAATATTTTTAAACTCAAGCCTTAAAAAGAGTCAATGCAGATGAGAATTACAAAAACAAGCTATCCGTAGGTATAAATAGCAATGTCATTTTAAATTGGTGTGAATTTGCTTCAAAAAAAAAGTCTATTCTGGCATGGATTTAGAAAAGCCAAACACGTAGTTATTTTTCAACGATTCTCAGTTTCATACCAGTTTGATATAACTATCGAAATCAATTACGAATAACTGCCTACAACCTGAAATCAAAATTACAAATCGAGTCTTAACACTGAAGCAATTCACATCGGTAACGGTAAGGTAGCTGAGCACTGATATTTTTGACACATTCCTACTATGGCTCATTCTTAAGCTCAGAATTTTTTCCCCACCAACGCATAAAAAACTTTAATTGTATCTGCTAATTAATCTTTAACGTAAAAAATATTCTTGTGATACGCGCAACTTGTACTCCGGATATTGTACATTTACGAATACCGAAAATGTGAAACCGATTGGTCCCGTTTTTGCAGAGGAGGATGTTTTTTTGGCTAACAACTCGACAAAATGACAGAGCAGTTTAGCACAATGATCCGATCCATTGGTTCACTTCGTGTCGAGCGATGACATATATATGAACAATACTTTAACTCAGATTGTATACTTCATTTTTTAAATCTCACAAACAACTGTTTTAAATACCATTATGTATTGAGAGTAGATTTATCAATAAATTGGAGAAGATTCAGGTTAGGACTCGACACACCTTTGCCAAACCAAGCACAAATATGATATAATTATAAGAATTACAAATGCCTCCGTATTCATAGACTGGTCATGAGAAACGTACAAGATGCCTTATTCCGTTATTTTAGTCTTTTAAATTCAATATTGTAAAATAACTAGATAAAAACGAGGCAATTATTGATTGCACATATCCACTAAAAAGTACCAGAACAGAAAAATTGAACTACTTGGGTTTTTATAGTAATGGATACTTTTCTTTTTGAGTGAACCTACGTTATAGGCTTAACTTAGCATCAACTTTACGCATTCAGAAATCTGATCGATGACCCAACAAAAATGTAGTATATACCATTAATGATTTACCTATTAGGTATGGTACACAATAGGTCTGGTACTGCGTTTATGTATTGCATTGTTTGCATTCTACAGAATTGCATTGTGTTAGGCAAACAACATTGGGTAATAGTTTATATGCATTTGCGTGAAAGCGCCGGCAATACAGTGATTGGGAATTAATTCACATTAGAGCTTTTCTTCTTTATCAGCGGCATATTTGATTTCCAGTGAATGATATTATTTTAAAAAAGAATGAAGATAGAATAGAGAACGTAGAGAAATACATGCTACTTTCAATTAGAAATCAGTTCGATCATCGATTATGAATAACAATTTCGCGGATTTAGATGACATTTTTAATCTGAGTGGAACAGCTTCAGCGGCTAATCCAACTTCGCTCAAAGACGAAACCCTAGATACCACGAATGGCAACGTCATCTCTGAAATGGACGATTTTTTCATGGTTCCTGAACCAACAAATAATGGAATCTCAAACGGCATTTTTGATGAACCCTCCGGCCTTGAATCTATGATGAACACCGACGATTTTTTCAACCAGACAAAACCAGAGAAAAAGGAAACTGGAGCAAATTTATTATCCGATGCCACTTCTACTCCGCAATCAATGACTGACCGTTTTTTGAATTCTGGAGAATTCCTTTCAACGGCGGAGATCCAACAAGAACCAGTCTATGCCGTTGTTAACAAAAGCCAGAAAACAAACAGGGGTAAATCAAATAATGCAGACCATGATCAAAATCAAATTCCATTAGGAGATGATGATAGTAAGGTAAATAATGTTGAGGAAAATGTGATCAATGTAGAGATGTCACATGTAACGGTGCCCACTCATAATTTACCGCCGACACCCGAATCAATCACCCAACTAAATCAAAACCAGCCTTTACAAACAACAGACGGTAAAAAGTCAAATGTACCTGTGACTAGGACGCAGGTAGATATTACAAATCAAACTGATCTATTTGGTTCATCAGTCATCCAAGATTCTTCGCCACAAATCGGAAGTTCACAAGCTGGCCATTTCGACCAGAACTTGCAACAGCCTACAGTTATTGAGGTCGACGAAGACACTGTCGCTGAAAATGCCATGGGCGCGGTTGATCAATTTTTGGCAGATTTAGAGCAGCGTAAATTTGACTCAAAAACAGAAATCTCAGCTCCAGCTCTCGATATGGGCAGCGTCATAAAACAAACTGTCGCTCCAACGCACGCACCAGCCACAGATAGTCCAGCTAGTATAGACATTGAAGGCATCTATACTGATGTTGGACCGTCTAGTGATGGGCCGAAAAAGGAAAAGACGGTGAGATGGGCTGACGACAACATGGCTCACAGTTCAGCAGTAAGTCACAATGACGTCATCACAGAAGAAGATCTTGAAGAGAGTGGCATAAATTTGCCAGAAATATCTGAAAGATGGGACTCGGTTTTCTCTCAAATTGACGACGGGAAGGAAAATTTTATACCAACAACGGACCTCGAGTAAGTCACTTTCCTTGGTACTTATTTTAAATCATCAACTCATTCAAGTGTACATACTTATACTTGATTATATAATAAAAAATAATATTAACGATATCTATTAATTTCCAGGAGGGCTCAATTAAAAGTTCGTCGTTTTGTCGACAACTTTTCAGTTCGTCTTTTTGGGTGTGTTCTCATTCTTTTGGACATAGTGTTGACAATTATCGACATTTCAATCACAAATAAACCACCTGCAACTCAGATGTTTTATGACGTAATGGCGCTTACGATTTCGTGCATATTCATAATTGATCTGGGGCTTAGAATCTTTGCATATGGGTAAGTACGTCTATTTTAACGATGATTGATGGAGGATACTCTTAGTCAAATGATTCTACTATGTGGTTTACAATTCATTCATACAAGATGTAGGAATTTTTTTGTTGTTGTTTGGGTGATTAATGTTGCTGTGAAGCTAATACTTTTATTTTCTATTTTTATTTTCCCTCCTTGTCGCGTGCAACCCAATATTTCACACGAAATGCTGTTAGTTCACGATCATTCGTCAGCTTCAATAACCATAATTTTATAAAGATGTGTGTAGAATTTTCCAACATTTTTATTTAATATACAGGCCAAGAAAGTTTTTCTCCAACAAGTGGGAAGTTATAGATGCCTTCATTATACTTCTGACATTTACAACAACCGTAGTGTACATTGCATTGGACCAAGTTATCGCACAATCTGATAGTGCTGCTGCTGAATTAGGAAGGTATGCATTTGAGAAAGCTCTTTATATCAGTTAATTTGATTAGCAAATTCATTCACAAAAATATGGAATTCTAAATATACTTCTTCTTCGCAGGTTTATGATCAATATAAATAATGTTTTACAATAAATAAATTTAACGTTTAGAGTAAATTAAAAAAAAAATTATAGAGAATATTTTTATGTTCTTTTCTAGAAAAATCACTTTCATATTTACACCATATTATTAAGGTTGAAATTATTGATTTGATAACATTGTTTTACTCATTCTGATGTCAACGAGAAGAGCATATTTTTATAAATTATGCAGCTTTTGTATGAATATTTAAACCAAAGAAATACAAACCCAAGTAAAACGCATTAGAGATTTTTTAACAAATTTCTCATACACAACGATTTCATTACATGCATCACGTTAATTTTGTAGACTTATTGTTCTTACTCGTGCTCTACGTATTTTCCGATTTGGAAGAATATTTTATGCGAATCAACATGTACAAGCATCAACCAGGCGAACTATTTCACAGAATAAAAGAAGATACCAGGTAATCAAATTGTCAGATATAAATATAAATGGTTAGTTATTCCTTCGTCAATCGTTGCTACCACCAATCAAGGGGGATTGCTATGCTTAAACCGTAAATTTCAGATTTTTTAAATCTACTAATTAGGCCCTAGAACATTATTTGTGGGAAAAGTGTAAAAGCCTTGTTGATAAATGGCACACTGCTGGAATTATCATTTTCAAAGTAGTCTATTTACGTTGTGTGTGGGCAATCACTATCGACGTCTTGCTCAAATTTGCGAAACGTAAAACAAGAGCCCTATTATGAGATAAGTAAAAATATCTATTGTTAAAGAAATAACTTTAAAAATTGATAATTGAAATCGGTATTATTGATTTTCTAACGTTCTAATATATTTTTTATAAATCTCAAGTTCTTTTTTTCTACCTTGTTGCATACTGCGGCATTGTATTGTCTTAAAATTTTACTGAAACAAGATTCAGCAGTTGGCTTATAGACACATCTGAGTGAACAAATAATATTTCAGAAAGACGGTTTTGATCTGGACCTCACGTACGTAACCGACAGAATGATAGCCATGTCATTTCCAAGTTCTGGAACGACAAGCGTCTTTCGAAATCCAATCGAAGAAGTCAGTAGATTCATGAAAACAAAACACCCAGGGAACTACAAGCTGTATAATTTGTGTAGTAAGTTTATATCAATTAGTAAAGACTCAAAACGACCACTGTTTGTTTATGTTTACATTTTTGTTTGTCATACTTTGCAGGTGAGCGCAGTTACGACCCCATGTGGTTTGAAGGACGAGTTAGTAGAATTCTCATTGACGATCACAACGTTCCCAAACTTGAGTATGAATTTGCTTCAATATTCTATACTTTTTTAACTTTATTTTCAAATTGATATATAAAAAAACTTGGCTTGACAATTTGACATGTAATTTTAACTTCTCGAAAGGAAACATAATCTTGTATTTATATAATATATCGCTGTGTTCTTCATCATTATTTTTGGATAAATTATGATGTTATCGTTTTTATCCGATACGTCAAACTGTCGCTTTCAAGAATTCACTCATGGAGTAGAGAGTTAGCTGCTATGAAATGGCGAAAATCTTCATAATTCTGATAGGTCAATCATTTGGTGATTGGGTGGAAGAGTGTTAAATAATTAGACTGCTGAATACCTAAACTAAGATCTATGACCTGAAACGCAAGAATAGTAAATTAATATGAGACAAAAGTATATGCATTTATTGTTGTTTAAAACTTATTTTTCAAATTTACAAGTGATATTATGAAATTCATCCGAGATGCGAAAGAGTGGACAAGCGAAAATGACGAGCGTATAATAGTTACCCATTGCAAGGGAGGGAAGGGAAGGACCGGAACAATAGTTTGCTGTTGGTTATTGGAGGAAGGAAGGTTTGACTCAGCTAGAGTGAGTATTTTTTTTATAAAAGAGAACTGTGATTTGAAAAGTTTGGTATGCAGAAGATATATATGATCATTGGATTATGATTCAACAATACGACAACAATGAACAATTTTTTGACATAATTTAGATAACACCGATACCATGTTCTTCCACCTGGCCTTTTATTACAGAATTGGATCTTTTGAAAAGAATCTGTATATTACTTTTTTGAGATCAACTTTGAATGAGTTAGAATATTTTCGTTAGAGTTTTTATTATTAAAAACTTGGAACTGATACTATGATTGATTGAATATTGTATTTGAAATAATGAAGTTTTTAAACTGAAATTGATACAAAACTTAGCACTCATTTCATAAAAGGCAAAAATCCATAAATTTACCTCAATTTTGCACATGAATTTGCTGCAGGAAGCATTAGCATACTTTGGAGAGCGACGAACAGATTTAGAACTGGATTCAAAATTTCAAGGAGTCGAAACAGCTTCACAGATTAGATATGTTGAATATTATGAGCAACTTAAAAAACTTTACGACGGCACACTTCCGCCACCTACCGAATTGGATTTAAAAACAGTGAAAATTTGCTCTATAAAAGGTAAATTATATACAAAAGCGCACGGACGCCAGAATGGTCATATTGCAATCAAGTAAATAAGAATTCAAGCTTACAGTTATGTTATACCTGCTGATGAAAAGATGATATTGCAATATGTCTATGATATAACAACTTTATGTTATAGGAGTTGGCAGAGGGAACGGTTCTGATCTTTCGATGGCAATTATAATAAAGGGAAAAGAAGTATTTCATTGCAAATTTGCTGAAGGAATGAATTGTGAAGTAAGAAATAAATAAAAAAAATATTTTTAATTTTTATCAAGCAGTACATATAATATTTCTCCCGCTGCCTAACTGATAAACGGCATTTATTGCAAAATATACTGGGATGAAACTGGTGTCGTCAATGACTAAGCCCAACTGGACGGGGCGATATAAACTACTCCGTGAAGGTTTATCAGCACTTATGATAATATAGAGCAAAATTCTTTACAACTTGTCAAGTCAATATAATAATACATGATTGATAATAGCTGGGTGACAATGAATTCCACATAAATGCAGATATTAGAAATGAACATGTATTATAGACTATTTTTACTATAAAGTGCAATGACAATGAATGGATGAACGCCAACTGGCAAACAAGAATGTCAGCTAAAAGTTTCTGGTAGTACCAGGTTTATTAGAATCGCATAACTATTATGTTAGCCGATATTTAAATACAATTAGATATTTTATATAATCACTTGATCATTGATATTTTATGTTCTTTTAGATGCTTCACAACTCGGATCAAAATTACGTTTTATGTGAAGTCAAAAATTGTCCTTCTTTAACCGGAGACGTAAAAATAAGGTTCATGTCAACATGTGTAAGTGATTATTGTTAATTAATGATTATTACAACATATTTTTCATTTTTTTAATAACATAAGGAAATCAATCTTATATATATATATCAACCATCATCAACCAATATTGGTATCCAAGATATAGAGTAATAATACAACAAGAACGAAAATAACGCTTTTAAAAGTTGAAACATCAATTGTTCAAACGTCCAAGAAACTCTTCAACTTTTCAAGCCTTTTAGGTTTATACATGGAGGTTCTATTACATGTTGTACATTTTTAAAATATATATTCAGTTTTATATAGTCGTGAAAATTAAACGGATTGTTTCGCTGCGTCTTCCTTCATCTAACTTCGTTTTCTTGCTCTCCACTCGATTTCGTGCTTTATTATTTCCTTTCCCTAATTATCATATTATTGAAAATTAAATATATTTATAGAAAGAACTTCCACGTGGATACGATCATTGCCCATTCTACTTTTGGTTCCACACATCCTTTGTTCCCGAGACCAGGAAACTTAGATTAGAGAGAGATGAAATTGATAATCCACACAAGAAAAAAACTTGGCACATTTTTCAAGAGGATTTTGCGATTGAATTGGATTTTTCCTGAAGATATACAATGGTGGGGAAAATGTCCATCAAGGTTTACGCAAGGAATAGATAGTTGAAATAATATCGAAAGTTTTCTTTTTTGTTTCTGGGCATTATTATGCTGTATAGTACATAGGCAATGTTCCAGCAAAGTACTAGGATATACATATTATTCCTCATTTGACTGGTCTGAGGGAAGACTGGAATATTTAGGCTCTATGTATCTAAATCTAGTATTATTGTATGCATTATTGATTCAATTTCACGTGTTGTTCAAATAGGAAAATACATATAAATATATAAAATATTACTATTTGTATACATTATTTATGCAATTTATTAATGTGCAATAATGAATATTGATTTTCATTTTATCGATTATTTAAAAACGCATGTCACAATCGTTTAATGTTCATAACTCACATATGGAACGAGATTGTTTTTCTCGAGTATTCACAGAAACATAGTAGATTATATTCCCACTTTAATAAATTCTTTCAGTTCAAGTTTTATTTATGCTTTGCTTCATCGGTATATGAAATGTGCCTTTTTTGGTACCTAATATTTGTACTCCGTGATTTGTAATTTTGAGATTCCTAATTATGTGGCCATATCCGAACAACACGTTCTGTATCGACATTTTTATATTAATAAATATGTAAAATGACAATTGACTAATTGTTATCTGATTGCTTAATTATCTCGCGTGCAATACATTACACGTTCTATTCTGAGATGATGTGTTTGTTGAAAAGGGTGAAGAATGTTAAAGTGTAGTCTTGAAAATTAATAATAAACTATAATTGCGTCAGGACAATTAGGAGAAAGAATTTATTCTAAACGAAATATAAACAAAAGAGATTTTCATTTTTGTTCTTCAATATTCGTTGGCATATCAACATCAATTAGCTGTGGCCACCACATAGCAAGGCGTGTTATATTTAGATAAGGTTATATGTTCTGAACGATGTGAAACTCTTATTTTGCGAATCTTTGTTTACTCATCGCTACTGCATCGTCGCTATCGATATCTCAAAGGTAACCCTACCGATCTTTATCAACGATGTGAGTTTTGATCAAATACTTTTAGTAAGGTGTCATTTGCCGAGTTCTTCAGTATGGCAGTTTGGCAAACATAACCCTCTTGTTCCTAAACACGTTATCATTTAAACATATTTACTATCTAGTAAGAATAATACATAATTTCATTACTGTATCTTCAGTCAAAATTGCTCAGAAAATACCAATGTCGAATGATATCTCAAATAAATTTATAGCAATTTGCCATGACAATAAATTTTACTCGAAATCGAGTTACCAAAATTTTTAAGAAATATTAGTCTTTGAAATGCTAGCTAGGTAGCATCAGGTATTCGACACAACAGACTTGGTATTTTTATTCATTCGAGGGCGAGAAAGAATGCATTGGGCAATAAGATAATTATATTCATTAGTCTGTCTAGTCCTACATTGTAAAGCACCCACCCAATGTATACTTTGTATAAGACATTGGATATGTGATACGCTCTCAAGATACAAAAATTCTGTAAATCAATTGCTTTCAATCTGCGGGATACTATTATCTCAAGGAAACCATTGTCAAGAATGCCATTCATATTTAAATATTACTATTAACGTAATAATTTTTTTTTTGAATTTCCTCAAATTTTTTGAGCATCTCTATAGGAACAAGTTCTTTGCACTACATTTATATTAATTTCGACAGTTGAAAATGTTCATGTTCATAAAATGAATGATTTTAGTACAAAGTATTTAATAGGTGCTTTATTATAGTAAACGTCCAGAGAAAGCAGACTTAAGCAAATTATATGGGTTATACTTACAAAGACACAATGGACTGCCCGTTGTCCATTTCTGTAGCTCTCACAATGTCCATTTGCTTTTTCGAAATAAAATATGTATAGTCATCGTAGATCTTGCTTGTCTCATACATATTGTGTGCTTGTTTTGATATTTTGTCTCGTGAACATGCTTTATCGTGCGTAATACATATTACAGAACACGCATGAGGGGTTGATTATACGTTATGATATTATTTAATACTTTTGATAGTTCGATAAAGGTGAAATGTTGTTGGACCGAATGGGCGCGGTTTTGTGAGATCGCAAGGTAAATATTTGATCAACCTAGAGGAGAATGTCGTTACCCGGGCGCCGACACGCTATTACCACCATAGGCCGGTATATATAAAGAAAAAAGTAATAAGAGGGCACATCTGTCGTACGGGGTGATTCTACGGCATCAACGATTTTCTGTACACTAGATTCATTCGATTTCATCGAACTTGGACACTATTTCAAGGTAAGATTGAAGTTTTTGTTTTGTTATGAATTTATTATCGTGTCAGTACGCTTTTTATTGCCAGATTATTAAGTTGTATCCAAATTATTTTCTATTAAAAAATTCTACTTTGATCACCAACTTTGTTCATAAAATTTTGTCTAATTTATACAAAACATTAATCCACTCGAGTATTCGCTAAGAAATGCACTAAAAGACGTTCAAAAGAGGCCAAATATGGATTAAAACATAAATTAAACATTACAATTTTAAACCCTTAAGAATGGACAGTGAAGCTTGCTCCAACATGGACTTCGACATTTCTGTAACTATTTGGCGAAGTTCCATATTTTTATCGTGAATGCATATAATATCTTTGGTGTTGAGGTATCCTTTGTTATAAATAATGATAACTGGCCAACGCAAGCGTGTGAATTTTCGATTGCCTTTGTCTTCTTGTTATATGATCCGTAAGAATATAAATATAAAAATAGTAGCTAACCGTGAGTAAGTGTCAATTACGGAACGGTCATACAAAAGGTGACTTGAAAATTATTTACGCATAGCCATTTTCTATTATTCTCCACATACTCGAAATTATCTTCAGACTTTTCGTCCGTTGTGAATAAATTACACACAATAATTTTTTTTTAAAAATATATTCACCCGAGATGTTTGCACGATAGATGCAGATGATCACCAAAATTTTGCAGTAAACTAGCTAATAACGTCGCAATAAAATAGATGTCAAATTCAATTTTATGACTGCTCAAACACCAGTAAGAGGTTACTATGGCGCGAAACAAATCATATCATTAATAACGCGAGCAATTAAAAAAAATTAAATTAGGAGTTGAATATTTTTAACCTTGCAGAAAAGGTACAAAAACGTTATTTTATATAATACTGATACTAGTAATATTTGGCAATTCATTCCAACCACCATAATGAATATAGGTAATGTTTTTTCTCCATTTTTTTATGTTCAAATGTTCAACGATGGCTCGTTTACTACTCTTTTGCGGTTTGCCTTTTGGGTGTCAGCGAAACCCGGTGATAAACAGATAATAAAATTTGTGGTGGGATACGAACCATTTCGTGGTTAGTTTTATGCTTTCAAACGGCCTATTGAAATTAGATTTATCTCTGTAGGTTTTTTGTTAAAAACACCCATTTAGAAGAAGAAGTGGCACCAGTGCGCATCAAGCTTGCGTAAAATCCGAAATTGCGGAACGGTCGAATTTCTGGTCGTGCGTCGACACGCGTGGTTGGACAATGATGTTATCAATCATGACGCAAAACGTGCAAAAGAGATATGATTAGTTGCATGCGTCATATCGGGGGAGTGGATAATCGTTGACGAATTTAAACGAATTTTCTGCAATTTTAACCCATTTTAAGATTCCAAAACCAATGTATCACGGTATAGTGATTGTTTAATTGGATTTTTGTATGCAAAGCCTCCATTCTCCCAAAAACGTTGTTTTCAATTTTGGAACCAATTTATAAATTAACAATAATGTCCCTTGTCACGCTTTGTTCCTTGTCAAGTATTTCCCTTACTCAAGTTAAACACCTGACACGGTATACGTATTGTCTGTGGGTCGTATCTTTTATCTTATGAGAAATACCGTGGTAACAATGTACACATACCTTCCACCCACACAAAAGAAAGACTTTCAAAAATGGTGAAGAGTAAACAAACCACGTGCTAAATTGCAAACACAATTCAGTAAATGAAATTCTAATAAACCTGCAAAATATGAAACATATTACATATACATATGATGCAAAAATTATAACAGCATTCATAGCTTTCGCTGAAATGACTTTTCTCAATATTTATGACGATTCCAAACACTTGAGCTAAGCAAGTTTTTATACAAGTAGTACTAAAGCACAAATGGTGTATTGAAATTGTAAACACAATAATATTTTGGAATGCTTTTCAGACTCTAGTTCCATATGATATATACGTTATTGATTACAGAAATGAAATTTAAAATAACCCTATCGTTCTAGCTTGTATCTAGCAAATTATAATTAAATATTGACACAATATCAATCTTTGTTGATATCGCAGACTTAATTACCTAAGTTCAATATCACGCATTATTATATTGAAAGGACTTGATTTTGAAATTAAATAGTTAATCATTTATATTTACTCATTGCTATAGCCAAATTCTATCGATAGAGTTGATTGTTCGGTCATTTCAAGCGAATATGAAATCCATTGCATTCAAATCAACCCAATCTCGCCCAGTTGAAATATGTCTAACTGATTAATTATTGATTCCCAACACTATGATCTATCCGCCAAGCGTACATTCAAGAACACTCGTCTAAATAAGAGTAAATTTAACCTAATTTTATCTGGTTTCACTGTGCAAAATCCAAATCCAAACGTTCATTACTAGGAGAAAACCGCATTTATGACGTAATAGCAGTATTAATAAATCGCCCACAACTTGCGCCCGAAGGCTTGAATTCTAACACATCGACGCTAAAAAGGCAATTGAATGGGGTTTATACGTTTTCAAATTTCCGGTTATTTTGTCTTAGTTAGACTCATGCAGACGATACGTGAATTAAGATTTGTTCGGTTGGTTGGTCTTGAGAATATATTAACATTAGTTTTTGTGTTGGCAAGGTACAGTAGGAGCATGTTAGTTAGTAACTGAAAAGAAATAGCAGCATTGCGATTAAACAAGTGTTTAGATTTAGAAACTCAGAATATTCCTGTTTGACAAAACATAATAAATTTGACTATATCAAATAGGAAACCTTGCATGCTAAGTTTGTATTAAATAGGGACTATCATACAGATTAATTTCGTGCCGCGCAAAGGGAGCTGTTAGGACCGAATTCTTAATCTTTCAAATGAGTAAAATATAAAAATTGTAGCTCACGAATTTGATGAATCCAAATTGAATGACGCTAAAATTTCGACGAGACGTAATTACAAAATGATGTTATTAAACTAAGAAGTGTAAAAAAACTAAAAATTCAACTTATATAAAGTTATGTTTTAATATTATACGACTAGTCTACATTGATATCAGTACTGTCATTCAAAATGGGTTCATTACTTTCTTCTATGCCTCACAATGGCAGAGATTCAAAGAAGAAGAAGAAGTCGAAGAGGAAGAATAATAAGAAAAAGTATCCGATAAAACAAACGAACTCCTCGTCGTCTTCAAGTTTCTCCACACCCAGTAAGTCAAGTCACGTTCGACACAATAAATTGCGTCACCAGCGTCATACGTCATCCTCGTCATCTGATAGTGAAATCGTGAAGGGTAACGTTAAAAATAAAACAGCCCTATATAATCAACTTGATAAGGGTGCGTCGCCACAAACCCAACAATCCAGTTCGAAGCCTAAATTCGCCCCGAAATCGAAAATTAATAAAAGTCCCAAGCATAAAAGCGGCTTTGATTATCACTACAAACCTAAGCAAGACCGTCCAAACGAACGTGTTGTAACAGTGGAACTTGATATTCCGGAATTAACCCAACAATCCAGCTCGAAGCCTAAATTTGCCCCGAAATCGAAAATTTATAAAAGTCCCAAGCATAAAAGCGGCTTTGATTATCACTACAAACCTAAGCAAGACCGTCCCAACGAACGTATTGTAACAGTGGAACTCGATATTCCGGAATTAACAAAGGCAAACAGGGACGTAACGCCATATCATCCGTCATCATCATCACCTATAACATATCACAATCAACAGGCTACAAAGACAACAATGCCAACCAAGAAAGAATTTGAAGAAGCTTGCATCAAAGCTCACAATGAATATCGAAAATGTCACAACGCAAATGGGCTTGAACGAGATACAAAATTGACTTCGATGGCTCAAGAATGGGCGAATAAATTGGCGAAAAGGGGTCGTCTGGAACACTCCAACAACAGAGGATTTGGCGAGAATGTTGCCTTTACTTCCAAAAGCGACCCATCAGGTGAGTGAATACTTGAATATCTAAATATATATAAACGTCCAAATTCCCAACAAATTGGAAATTGTGTTTCTTTTATTCAAAGTAAAACATACGTTTAACTGCTAGACTATTATTGAAAAATATTATATCGTAATTATTTTGAAACTTCAGCAAACTTGTAAAAATGTTGTATTGCCAAACAATATTAGAAAAAGACCAAATAAAACACTCACATTTCGACGTTAATTTTTGTATTTGTGCCTCCTGTTTAGTACAAAAGGAATCATGTTTGATGTTAATTTTCTACAGGCTTAGAGATAGCAAAAATGTGGTACGATGAAATCAAAGACTATAATTACAGAAACCCAGGGTTCGCCGGGAACACTGGTATGTGCTTATTCTTTTGTTTATTGGTATAGTTTTGCAAGCTATTCTGTGAAAACGCAAGCGACTTCAAATCTTCCTACAACATCTCAACATGTGAATAAATATAATAGGTAGAACTGATGTAAATATTAAGTGTATAATATACGAATAAAATATCACAAATTGAGTAAATATTGTCATTTTACAATATAAGTGATACACCCAGGATAAAATTTAATGATTCAGGTACCACACATTCTCATAAAAATATTCTGTTACAGGCCATTTCACGCAAGTTGTCTGGAAAGGAACCACCCAAGTTGGTATAGGAATAGCAACAGGATCTAAAGGTACACCCAATGTTAAGCATATAAGTAGAAATTTGGGTTGGGTTCAACTAGTAGTTAAATCTGTAATAGTACATCATATTGATATGTATATTAGCAAAATAATAATGTTGTTAATTCAAAGTAACTACAGTTTGAAGTAGTTCAAAAACCCTGAATGTATTATGGTAGTAGCCATGGCGGCTTCGTTTGTAATATGATGAACTCAACTTTGTTTGTGTCGTAGCGGGCAGGTTCCCCGTCACAATCTGTATGCCTATCGCCTCTCCAAGAATTCGATAAGTTGAATAGATTATCCCTACTTGCAGTGAACTAAGTCTTTCCAATTATAATAGCTACGCATAAGACGATGCATAAATAGAGCCTTGAATAAAGCAAAAAATGTAACACATTTATCAGAATAGAATAGATAATTGGTCAATCAGGCAGGGTCCACTACTTATTACCGAAGCTGCTCTTGTTTACAAAACGACCATAAAACATTCTGCTATTCTGTGAATCTAACATACGCTTCCACAACACAAATAATTCTATGAATCATTCACCACAATCAGGTACGTTTGTCGTTGCAAATTACAAACCTGCTGGCAACATTACCAACCCCGGATATTTCAAGGAGAATGTTGATAAACAAAGAAAAAAACCAACATTTGCGGAATCGAAACGACGATCATCTTCTTCCTCGTCAAGTTCTTCTGATGACGGTGAGAGGGCAATAAGTATATCGACGGTTCTCAACGTTTTCGCAAACTTTACCCTGATATCTCAGACGAATTTCTAGACGTACCGCCACTTGATACGCTTAATAAAGTTCTTTATTAAAACAAATAAATTAGCAAATTATTCCAGTGAACAAGCTGCTAATGTCTGGCGAAGTAGAAGATAATGCGTAACGTATGACAGATATAATCTCGACTCATGGTGTCGCAGTTTACCTTGACCCAACGCAGTTCGGGTTGGAACACAGACCCCATCAATATTTATTTTCCTTAGACTACTGCAACAATCTGATGTACTAGAATTTTTAGCTCTCTGTCCTATTTTTCATAAAAAATAAATTTACGGTATTTTATGATTATGCGGCATAAAAATATTATAACACAAATGTGTGATCTGGAAAATATAAGATATTGCTTCCTTATTGTATGGACGTACAAGATTACATCTGAATTTAATCTCCGACTTGAATTAAAAATGACAAAAATTTATAGTTACTTATGATATTCCAGTATTCCATTTTGTACATAAAATAGTAATATATTCGAGCCTTAATACATATTACATATGTTTCATTCGTAGAATGCCATAGACCTAAAGCATCGTCGTCTACCAAAACAAGTTCTTCTGCACCCAAACCAGGAAAGAAAGTTGATACAAAAACCGAGATTTACACCGAAAACGGTAAAAGAATGCATCATGTTTTTCTGTTGTTCAGTTTAAGCTATATTAATGGCCTCATTTTAAATCCATGCTAGTTATATTTGTTCTTTACCATTGTCCTTTTAGTAAATATTTTTGACAATAGAATAACAGAAAAGTCCATTATTTTTTTTATGGCAATTAAATATAATATAAATATATAAATAAGGAAAAATTTTGTGCTCTTGATTTTAATATCAGCAATGGTGCTAAGAATTAAAAAAAAATCTAACAAATTTTAGGAGTTCGCAAGAAGAAAACTATAACGACGACTACAACAGTGACGGTCACGGCGAAAGGAACTCAAACATCAACAGAAACTAAAACAAAGATAGAAACACTACCGGATGACAATTCAGGTAAGCTCTTAAGGGCACTAAAATAAATGACTTTGTTACGAATATGGTGGGAGACGTTTGGGTAAGTTTGCTATTTGATTTGCAAGCGCGTGAGACTACCTACCCCATGATTGTACAGCTAGTTATGGACCACAAATAATACCTTAGTTAGCCTCGGAGGCGAACCTGAAATACCATTTCATCAAGTATGGGATATCCATAATATGCATATTCAGAGTTAATTCGGGTATTACAAATTTATCTTCTGTCATTAATACAAATATTTTCTTCAGGAGAATATTGTGTTGACAACACATCATAAAAAAAACTTAAAATACAAATAAAAATACAAATGCTAATTTCATAGGCTGATATACTAATATGTATAAGAGAAAAGCGCTCAACTTGTTTACAGTCTATTTTAATAGCGAATAATTTGCTGTTAGGTGCATATGATAGAATAGTGATGTCACAATGTCCCTCCTGTGAGTAAATCAAGACACTAAGAACAAGCAAAAGAGTATAAAATATTCTAGACTAATTAGTTCTAAACTTGATTTTGATTACACGAGAAAAGTTGTTTGAGACATCATTTTATATTTAATGCAAAAAGAGAAGAAACAAATTTATAATAATGACGTCACATCGATGACGTTGTTACACAAAACAAAAACATTTACAAGGTTTAAATGCCACATTAATTAATTTTTAAATTGATTTTAATGCATTGGAGAAGCGCAATAATGAGGTGCGCCAACAAACAATCGCGAACATTCGAGAATCCTCCTGGGAAAATTTATTTTAGTGCTAACCTTCCAGTATAATCGAGATCAATCTCCATGGTTACACTGTGATAAGATGTAGTCAAATTCAATAATCTTCAACGATAATATACATTGGCCAGTCAGGGAGCTTGATTTAAATCTGCACTATTTCGCCAGTGCACGCCTGTCCTAATGCAGTAATCACGATGAATTGAATACAATTACTTTTAAATGCCAGCCTACGCATAAGCTATTTTTGATAGAATATAACGCTATAAAAGCAGTAAGCTACCTCGGCGTCTCGCATTCGAATCATACTCATTAGTGATTTCACATATTCACTACAGTGTTAATTGTAATATAAATTGAAACTTTAAAATGCCGAACTATAAAGGAAAACTCTATCGTATCGACAGTGCTGTTTTGAGAGATGTTTTTCCGGATGTACAACTAGAGGAATTTGATCAAGGTATACGACTAAATGGAATATTTGGTTTGAATGTTTCGAAAATATTTGAGAATAATACTATTTTTCAACTTTTTGAGATGCTTTATTGTCAGATAGGTACAATTTTTGCTCGGTGACTGTACATTATATATTAAGGTTAGATATCAATGCATTAACAGGTCGTTATAATCGCATATATTGAAAGTCAAACACAAGCGTATCAATAATGAAAACCATCATAAACTTGTTTTGTTGAGAACATATCGAATTAAGCCCAAAATTACTTCTTTTAGCAAGAAGTTGAATATCTTCGCTCCAGTCAGGGCTCAATCCGTCAACTTTTGTATCAGATAGGAACTATTTTTTGTATTCGATGGACGAATGTTATTTACCGACAGTTTGAATTAGGAAAAATTCAGTTATCTAATCCTTGCAGGCTTATTCTAAAATACCCAGGGGTAATCTTCTAACCTTGTCAAATCTCTAATTACAGTGACAGGAAAGCTGAAAAATCTTCGTGTTCGGAAAGACAGTAGTAGCAGTAGTAGTAGCAGTGATGACGACGACAGTAAAAACGTTTTATCCTCGTCGGACCAAAGAAAATTCCGAAAAGACTGTCTAGAAAGACACAACGAGTTGAGAAAGAAACATGGAGCTCCAAAGTAAGTATAATACCACTAGAATTGATATGGATACAATGCTAAATCGAAAATAAATAAATCATTTGCTCTATGTTAATAACATACTTTGGCAGAAAAGTTTGATCGCTCAAGCTACTGAAAGGTAATTGTTACATTTATATATAATAAATTTAATTAAAAAGAATATTTCACCTTTCTAAGTGGCAATTATTTCCCACTATAAAAATGAATAAACATAAACTGCCATCAGATTTAAAAACTTTGAATGGTAAAATCGAAATAAGTAAAATTGAATTGTGTATTATATAGGTTGAAATCAAGCAGCTCTCTTCAAGATAAAGCTCAACGTCATGCAAACAAAATGTTAAGGCAAGAAAAATTATCACATACAGGAAAATGTGAATTTGGGGAAAACGTTGCAATGAAGATGCCAATGCCATCAGGTATATAATGATTGCATATATGTCTATTTGATTTAGTTTTTTTTTTCAATAGACACGAACCTGAAATCTTTTTTTTTCTGATGAGTCGACAGATAGACTACATTTGCCAAAAACTAATAGTCATATAATTTTAAAGCTCGTATTAAATAAAACGACTTTTCGATCATCAAATATTTTCCCATTTTTCGATCATTTCTGGTATGTAACCAATCGACTGAATTTTTGTAAGGGGTCGCTAGAAATATGATGAATGATAGGAAATTTTTGGTAAATATACAATTATTTTTTATTTAAGGTTCCGAAGCTTGTGATATGTGGTATAGTGAGAAGAAAGATTACGATTTCAGAAAATCAGTATTCAGTGGAAACACAGGTAAAAAATTTGTTTTTAAGACAAGTGTATCCAAAATACAATAATCTATAAATTTGTTTCAGTTTTTACAAGACGTATTAGTTATTGAGGGTGTGGTCTAACGCTACCTGTTACTTTTATTTCAGGTCATTTCACTCAAGTTGTGTGGGAAGGAACTAAAGAAGTTGGAGTCGGTGTAGCCTCTAATTCTGATGGTAAAACATACGTCGCCTGCTTCTATAATCCTCCTGGAAATGTAAGAGGCGACTTCGAGAAAAATGTGAAGAGAGGATAAAACAAATTCGACCATTTAATTGTATTTATATGTTTTGTTAACCGTTACCCCATAACCCATCATAACTTTTGTGTCAATGAAAATCTATGATATTTTATATTTGATGATTTTCTACAATTATTTTTAAATCTCAAGATGTATTTTGCCTTACTATTTTGTACGTTATAATAGCATTGTATTATATTGACAACGTACTGATTTTGTCCTGTTTATTATGCCTTTTCCGCTTAATTTTGTAAAATGTTGTATGTAGTAAAAGCAAATGAGTATCTCTCATTTGATTTCTTCATTCAAACAGTACAAAACGCAAAGAGCTTTTTGTACATTCCTTAATAATTATTGTGTCTATTTTACTCTCTGTATGTTTTCTTATTTTCTGCCATCTTCAAATTTCTTCATCATATTCCAATTTTTGAAGCAAACTAAGAATGCAGTCGTTTTTATTTATTCATAATTTTCTAAATTCAAAAGTTTCTCTGTGAAACTTATTTGATCATGTTTGATTAGTTGTTGATGAAATATTTTAACAATGATTCATTCTTGACCGTTTATATTAATATTTGCTGCTGATTTAAATATGACCAATGCTGTAAATGTTCCATAGCTTATTTCAAATGCAATAAATCATTCTCATTGGTGTCAGAAAGAAGAAAGTCTAATACACAGTTGCTTACTAGCTTATTTATAATATATGGTTTTTTAATTTCTTATATAAATCTAATCCATCGGTCGCATCGCATATCATACAATATTCTTACACAATATTTGTTAGGCGCGGTTTTGGGCGTGGCCTGTCTTAGGTGCATTTCACATTCTTCAGTACTGGTCTCACGAGATGGCAGTGCGGAGTTTGACCATCCAACCAAAACTTGATCTCATCACTACTTTCGAGTGTACATATGAAAAAAATTGAGAGGATACGGAGATTAGCATGGCCCCTGCGCAAGGATGATACGAACACTCGTCAAGCGTTTCTCTAAAACCAGATCTCATCACTCAGCTTCTGTATCACTTTATTACATTTTTAATGGCATTTTACTTCCAAATGACAATGTATTTGGCTCGCGATGATGACGTTGCGACAGGGTGTCACATAAGGCATTATGGTTGATTACATCAATATCGAATCGAATCCATGCATTTTTAATACTCAGATTCGATATCGAGTTCAATCCATTTTTGTCGAATTTTTAATCAGTTATTCTTTTAATAATTGACGTGTACTTCTCATACTTAGTACATACAACATCGATTTGAAATTATGTGATCGGTCGCATAAGAAATCAAAATAGACATGGGTGATGTATTACGGATCTTATTTACAAAAATGTCACCTTTTTTCCGCTAGTTATCATATCGTGAAGGGTTACCAACTATACAGTAATCTAATATTATATACACTATTCTAATGGCTTGATAAAACATATATATACGCTTTTCGGTTTATAAACCAAAAATATATGTAGAAGTCTTTGTTTCACGCAGAAATAAAACATGCTTTATCGCTAGCATGTAGCATCTGCTCAGGCCCGATAAATAGGCATAATTATATCAATTTATTATAACACAAAATATGAAGGGGATCAACTTAATCTGTCATTTTATTTATAGCTTTCTAAAATCTAGTACACTACGTGCAGTTGAAAAAAAAATTTAACCAAACGGGACAGAGTTTAGCTGGGAGCAAACTTAGCCACTAACTCGAAAACAAAATAGCTTTATAATATGTGGATATGGAATCTTTACATGAAACTGTTAGCAGCTGTATCTGTATAATACTGTGTGGACAAGTGGCAACTCTCTGCCATTTGCACAAGCGCATTGTACAATCTACGGCAAACATTTCTGTAATTATGAGAACTTATCTTAGTCAAAACTAGGTTTTTTTCAGATTGAAATCAAAGAATTTTGATTTTTTTTTTGGCTCCAGATGGAAGGAAATCTGTGTTGAATAGATGTTTGAAATTAATAATAGATGCATATGGATAAAGAGCTGGCTTGCAAACAAAGCTAACATCGCCGACCATTTGATTTTATATTAGACCACAAAAATAGGAAAAATATATTTCAAAATTAATTCCAAAGCTACCTATTGCACAGTTTTGCAGGAAGATATAAAATAAGACGCACGTAAACGTCCCCACCTTGCGTCAAGTCAATAAAGTCAAAAACATATTTTTTACGTTTATATTATGACGTTAAGTATTTCAACGATTCGATTCCATGACCTATTACTTGGATTCGACGAAATCAACAAATGCTGGACTAGTGACATTCCTATTATTTGTTTGAAATGCCCGAGTTAACTGGAAATTTGTTGACTATAGTATTAACGTGTTAAGCGTAAAACCATTTCCCATATTCATAAAAAAAATTTATGAGGTGTCCATTTTTTTATTCAAAATATGAAATACGTACAGCTTTTTACAAAATTAGGAGGAAAGTTTATAAGAGGATAATAGGACAAAATCAGTACGTTGTCAATATAGTACGATGCTATCATACCGTATTAAATAATATGGCAAGCCAACAAACGTCAGTTTTGACTGCCAATCCAGAATAAATTATCTCCCTTGTCGTAAACTGTATGATTTTTTTCACGCAAAAATAGTATTCAATTGTCCTCTTGTCAAAATTCTAAGATCAGGCCTTACGGAAGACAGAGATTTTACGGATTAAATGACACTTTGAAGTGAGTGAAATCAAATATTCTCACAAGACGAACGAATCCAAGTGTTGAAAATAGGTCAATAAGATTAGCTAAAAAGAGAGAATGTATTCCTAATACAACTGCGCTATTTATGCTACAGACCACATACGAATTCAAAGATGATTATGCCACTAACTTACTGGGGCATTACCACTTGTGAGCTTCTTCGAAAATTTGTATGAAATTATTTTGTTGGACAGCTCACAACATGGCGTTCATAGAACATTAGTATAGGTTTTCCTGATCTTTGCTATTTGCGCTATTTACACTAACAACGTTGCGCTAAAGTCCCCCATTTAAATATCGAATCGGATGTAGATCGTGTTGACTACTTATCTCTCGCCTCCGTGTGATACAGTCGAGGTCTAGTACACCTACTAATCACCAAATACATTTCTGCAGAAAAGATGAAATGAATGACAATTTTTATATCTTAGGTTTGAGGTTAGACATTTTGTTGAGCCATCTTGATGGCTTTATTTTACTGCATATTTATGAAGCCCTGGTTTTTGAATGGCCAACTATATTTGTGCCCTGTAGAGCGTCGCTGAAGCGATCACTTATAAGAGTTCATCTACTGAGAATCAAACATAAATTCGTTGAATACCCGAGACTGAACCACGTATTAAAATGTTTATATGTATATATATATGAAATGTAACCTTTTAACGTTACTTGATCATTAATGGAGTAGAGAGTCGTAAATTGTGCTCTATATTGAAAACTTCGGCAAACATTGGAAAAATTGCAATGATTTCAACTCTTCTTGAAATTAAGATTAGAAATTCACCGGAGAGGTGATAGTAATATCGTCCACGTTGGTATATCTTACGGTCTCTTAGAATGTCAGTGTGTGTGTATTTTGATCCGTCAAATGATCCACCGTAAGTCAATATGGTTGATTACATCAACATAATACATTAAAAAGTAAATGTACGAGGGGCATTTCTAATCAAATAAAAGACACAATGGTTTTGAAAAAAATTTAGTTAAAAGAAAAGTTTTACTAAAAGGGACAGAGTTTAGCTGGAAGCAAACTTAGCCACCAACTCGAAAACAAAATAGCTTCATAATATGTGGATATGGATTCTTTACATGAAACTGTTAGCAGCTGTATCTGTATGATACCGTGTGGAGAGAGAGAGAGTTTATTTCATTTTGTCAAACCAAGAAAACAATTCATGCACACATAAACAAATATCAAAAAAATAGTTTTCGGTATATGACTGGGGGGCAACGATACGACCTTTTGGGGTCATCAGAGTCAGTTGACACCCAATTATATTAAATAAGCATAAAAATAACAGGTTCGTGTCAATATATCAATGTCTCTCACGATTTAAACTATGTACAATATTTACATGGATTTACCATTTTCAATTATGGAAGCATTCTTTTAGATAATGGGATTTTGCACAAATTGAATTTATATTGCAAAATATAAAATGATCGAAACGAAAAAAAGTGGAAAAGCAGGTCAGACAAGCTACCCATTATTCGGGTAACTTGTTTTATTGAATGAATATAAGGATAGGATTTACATATTTATCCCGGGGGAGAGGAAATCCGATAAGACGGCTTATCTATATGGCGAACCATGGCCTCTCGTCCGGTTACCATTCCAAGTCGGGTATGGGATTAGTTTTTTACTGTATTGTTTGTTTTTTTCGGAAGCATGGACTTGGGTATAAGTTAAACATATCAAGTGGGATTTTGAATAAGCAAATATGGGTAGAGTTCTATTCTACTATACACACACTAGTGCCATGTAATCACAAGCATGGGTTGAGTCATCAAAACAAATTAGAATTTGGTTTAAACAACAAAAAAATGCATTTCAAAAATGCAACACATTGTAAACTTTGTATAAACAAACAATCAATATTAAAATATCTAGAAAGTTAATGCAAAAACACAACAGTTGACTTAATGTAGGAATAAATAGGATGCAATATTTCATAACACCAAGTGAAATGATTTAGAACACTTTAAAAATAAACATCAATTATTAGTGTTTGTACATAGAAATAGAACAATTCATTAATCATGGCCATTTATCCAGATTTTTACACTAATTGGTAGTAAATGGATTAATATATCATAGATTGGCCAGGGATCTCAATAGAGAAGTATTGAGATTGGCAGGTCAAAGGTTAATGAAAAAGAGCTATTAACTTAGCATATTAGCTTCATAAGATAGAAAAATTGAACGGAACATTTTATTACACAATTAGGGACTCTTTTACATGAGAGCATTTAATAATAGCAATCAAAAAATAAATCAAATAAAGAGCTCATGTCAACAAGGAAATATCATGAATGCATAAAAGCTTGGCATATTAAATTTATGATATAGAAAAAAAGAATGTAACATTTTGTAACATGATTTGGGACACTTCAAATGTGATATTAATAGTACGGGTAGTTATCAGAGATAAAGAGCACATGTTAGCGAGGAAGTAACTTGAAGGTAAATATGAGGTTGGCATAACTCTATATAATGGAAAATGAGAAATGTGACATTTATAACTTGATTTCGGATACTTTGAATATGAACATTAAATAATAGTAATAGAGTATAAGAAAAAATCAAATAAAGAGCTCACGTCAACAAGGAAATATCATGAATGCAATACAAGATTGGCACATTAACTTTATGATATAGAAAATAAGGAATGTAACATGATTTAGGACACTATAAATGAAATATTAAGGTAGTTATCAAATATATAAATAAAGAGCACATGTTGCCGAACAAGTGACACATAGGTAATATAAGCTTGGCTTAACTTTTTAAATGGAGAATGAAGAATGTAACAATTTTTTTAAACACAATTTTAGACAATTTGAGTAATAACAATTAATAATAGTAATCTAATATAAAAAAAATAGCTCATGTTGCCAAGGTATCAATATCCTGAATGAAATTTTGGTTTTAGAGTTTTAAAGTAGAACTCGCAAAATGTACAATTTGTAGATATAGTGAAGGATTGCAAACATAAAAAACAGTAGTCTTCAAAATCACAATGAGAGATCAACAACAATTCACTGCGAAGACACAAGTTAGGCATATTGGAATTGTAAGTGTATATGAACAACGGCAATTCACTGTGAATACACAAGTCAGGAATATTGGAATTGCAAGTGTATATGGATTGAAGGATACAGTGTATATTTACCCCTGACTAGGCTAGGACCAAATCGACAAACATCAAACTACAGCATGGAATTTAAGTTACATCAAAGATTGTTTTATATATAACGGCCTCAGAA